CACCGATCCTCCACTTTCATCCTGGCAACCATGAAAGAGAGAGCAGAGAGAAGAGGAGGCAAGAGCGAAAGAGACTATCTAAGGACATATGAGTAAGGGGAAAGGATATCAGAGGAAATGGTGAATTTAAAGGCTCTTTAGTCACATCTGTCTTTCTTTCTAAGCTTCTTCAGAAAATAAAACTCTTCTGTCAAAGCCAGAGAGAAAGAAGCAGCATTCAAACCCTTAACATCATAGAAACTTTTCTTTTCTTAGAGTACAGAAATTGGCTCTTTGTTGTGAATTGCTGAGATTACTCTAGTGTGTTATACTTCCCTGCGACTAGTACGGTATGCTTTTTTGTTTGTTTTTATTTCCTGTCGGATTCTTCAGGAGGTGAACGTGAGTCAAACTGTGATGCTTAAGAACAATACGTGGCAAAAATTACAGAAAGTGTTAAAGGGGGGAAAAAAACCTTGAAAAATGCAATGATTAAAAGTACACTCGTATTATTAAAAACGAGGAATTCATTCATTTTTTTGCAAAGAGAAATGGTTACAGCTTTTAGTCAATGCATACGCAAATTTTTCAATTTGTGACAGGTCAAATATTTTATCTTAAATGTGCCTGAATTTTTAACACGTTGTCTAACTTTATTTTAAAAAAAGCCCCATCACTCATTTTCATTTCCAGAGAACAATTATAACAAGATTAATGAAACTAACAAACTCAAATCCATTTAGCTTTTACAAAATGAGCCACACACCCAAATATTCAGCTTTGACGAGTCAAAGCAGCTCCTGTGAAACATATTAAGCTCAGATAAAGCCTAGTCTACCAAGAAACATTGGCTAATTAAAAATGACTAGATTAATTAAAGTGGAGATTCATTAGTGCCACAGAGGGAGAGAGAGAGAGAGAGAGAGATCCACTTCTTTCAATTAGCATGATGCGCGCACACACAAATTACTAAAACACACACACATATCTATTTGCCTGCAACCCATGTACTTTCTTATATCTTATGGTTGGTTTATATGGAAAACATACATTATTATTGTAATATTAAATTCCTACGGAAAGTAATGGCTGTATTTTATATTTATTACACCAATAATTCATATGCAAGCATTTTGGACAGCTGTGGCTCAGGCAGGTTGGTGGTTTGATCCTCAACTCCTCCAGCCTGCCATTTTCACCCCCAATGCATCCATCAGTGTGTGTGTGTGTGTGTGTGTGTGAGATAAAAACGCTTAGGTGTTAAAACAAAGTGCTTGTGTCAGTATGTGTGAGGCTTGTAGTAGAAAGCGCTTGGGCTGCTCAATTAGCGTAGAAGAGCGCTATATAGTAAAATATCTGCCCATTTACCATTTTTACCATTTTTACAGCACAAAGATACCCAAAGATAATTTAAAAAGTGCTTCAAAGGGAATACCTATATTTAAGCGTAGTCTCCGAATGGTTGGATTTATCCGAATGTCACACATAAAAAACAGCGGGGATAATGAAATTTGTAAGAGGAAAAACTAAGTAAAGCTAGAACTAACTCTCCACCTAAAGAAAAGAGTAAAAAAAATCTGGCACTAGAAGTATCACATATAAGCTGGACAAGGACGCCAACAACCCATCAGCCTTGAGTGTTTCATCTGTCGAGAAAAGTTGGCTAATGCTAACATAGTGTCAAGCAAGCCGAAGCGGCACTTGGAAACCAAATAGCCCTTCCGAGGGAAATTTGGCCCAGTTCAGAAGATTTCTGGATGGGAACCAGAGGCATCAATTTAGTGGATCAAACAAATTGAAAGTGCGACTCAAGCAAGCTGAGAGTCATTTATTGCAAAGAACAGAGAAAAAGCCTCACATGTAAAAGCAAAAGAGTTATTGCATAAACATGAAGGTGTAATGTTACGTGCAGATGCCAGAAATATACAAGAATGCCTATATCTAAGTGTACATCAAAATAACTCATAACGGCAGTGAAGTAGAGGCTAGTTGGCGCAAATATGAATACAGGTGGTTGAGCAGGTAAAGAAAAATATAGAAAACTCCTGACCAAGTGGATCGCAGATGCTACTCCAACTAGGACTTTATTAAAGTATAAAAATATGTTTTCTTTATAACTTCGATCTATCTTCTTGACTGACTAATACCCTATAACATGTCTAAAAACACGTAAAATATTATTTGCAATTTCCCAGAGATCAAGATGACATTTTCATATTGTCAAGTCCCCCGGCTGGAGATATTTCTGCTTGACAAACAACCTAACCTCTGTTTGATGGATAAACGAATGTGTAATAGAAACACTGCACTGAACTTTAATCTAAACCTAATCATCCTAACCTCAGTGCTGCTCAGCCATTTGAACAGCCGATGGCTTAAAACTTAAACCGATCCTTGAAAAGACAAAAGCACAAGACGATACTCACACAGACGCACATGGGTGTGAACAATCAAAAATACATACACCTACCTGATGGTGCAGTCACATGACCTCCAGTCACCGTTATCTCTATCATCCATTTTGTACTACGATCACGGACTCAACCCCAAGAACTGAACAGATGGGACTGCGTCTGTGTTTGTGTGCGCGCGGATATGTGTGAATACGCATGCATCTGTTTGTGTGGCGAATGTGTGTGTTTGTCTGTGCGTGTGCGTTAAGATGCTTGAAATGAAGATCAGTCCAGCAGCAGAATTGCTTACTGTCATTCATGCCCTTTGCACATGAACACAAGCACTTCAACGAACACAGACACACGCGCGCGCACACACACACACCTGCCTTTATTAAAACGTCACATTCAGTGAATATACTGTGTGCTGTCATGCTGTCTGCTGTGAATGGAACGGCTGCGTATTTACAGTGAATTGTAAATCCTGCCGAGCACTCAGCTGTCAGAGTCTTATGAATTGCTAATATGTTGTATCTCGCACTGCCGATCCCCCTCTATCTGGCCCCTATCACTTTCATTGTGCGCTGAGCAAAAGTGAGGCCAGGGAATGAAAAAAAAATCTAACTTATAAAAGGAAATAAAACGTGGAGATAAAGGATACAATGGCTTTAATGAAAACCTACAATACTGTCATGAAGTATCATTTATAATGAACACGTGCATTGATTTTATTACTTATAGTAGCGGTGATTACATTTTATTTTGATTTGGATGAGGACTACACTGCCACACACTGAACCATTTACCACAGTATCCTCTGCTCTATTTAATCATTTATGTGAGCACATTAGCAGCACCAGACTGCACCAAGAACAATCACACCTACTTCAGCAGGATACTAATCAAGATGTGTCTGATACTGCTGGGAATCTCTCTGAGCTTTTGCATCACATACCTGCTTTCTGCTCTATATCATCTTTATGCATATTGAATTTGATCACATTTTTGACCCCACAATTCTTAAATGGGCCATTTAAAATGAAAAATACACTGCAGACAAAGGTGGAATCAGCATTACGGAGAAAATTCCTTTAAAAATCTAAATTCTGCCAACTTCCCAGGCTTCTTTGGCTTCTCATCCTTATCACAGAAGATGTATACTTGGTAGCTTTGCCCTTAATAGTCTCTCTGTGAATATTATTCCTGATATAGTAGACATTTATGTGACAATGAGACTTTATCTCAGACTTTCAAGCTGATGACTATAATACCTAATTATTGTCAGAATGTGTTGGAAACCCTAAAAACCATAAGAAAAATCACATTCTTCTCTTGTTCTTTTCCAACATTTAACTCAACTGGGAAACCAAACAATTTCTAGTAGTTCTAATAATTTGCCGGCATATTTTCCAAGTCATATGTAGCCAAAGATGGACAGACAGGTTGGAAAAAGTGGAATCACCCCTCTTTTCTCTCTTCTTTTTGCCTGTTTTTTAGGCTAATCTTTCTTTCACTTTGCCTGTGCCTGATTTCCTATATGATTATTCCTCATTAAGATAATCAAAAACAGTACCACTAACCTTATCAGCTATCAGCAATGCCACCATCACAGAACAAACTTATTTTCAGCTGCTTTTTCATAATATCAGGATCTGACACTATAACCTTTATATTCCTTATTTTAGCACAAAATATAGGGAACAGAGTAAGAAAATAATAACCTGATTCTGTACTAACGGTAAAGCCTTGCAACAGACACACATAGAAACCCATTCATGCACAATTACATGCATTTGTACACACATACAGGTGCGGAAAAAGTAGACACCTTTTTACTAATATAGCTTTCGTTGCACAGTGGCCGGTCACACCTCTGAGTATAGTGACAAATGAGGAGCTCTGGAAATGTAGACAGATCAGACGCACACAATTTCTCCTCACACACTTGCGCAAACACACACATACAGACTCAATAACTCACACAGCTGGAAGCAAACATGTAAGAACATTAATGTATCCCCATATACAGGAGGAATCACCCACATATGCTAACACACATGGAGCGCAGAAATGCAGAGCACAGCAGGTGGCAGATACAATGTTTCCCATCCCATTGTTTGTGTTGAATTTGGGTGTGTATCAGTTTAATGTGAGTCAGTGACTACACAATTTCAGGCTGATGAACAGGTAGGTTTCATCTTTGCAAGCAATGCGTACAAGTACTTATACAGCCACCTCTGCAGTCATTCAAGGCTATAACTGAGGATAATTCACACGCAAAAGCATTTAGGAAACTGTGATCTTTAAACAAAATCATCTTCAAGTTACAGCTTTTCTTATACTAAAGACACAAAGCAGACATAGAAAAGTACATGAAGGGGAAAGAGGGACGATACAGAACTGAGAGGGAAGTGTATTCCTTTTAAATGAAAGGGGAAAAAAGGAAAGGGCGAGGAAACTGAATAAGACATAAAGCAAAGCTTATAATGAGAAGAGGAGAGTGCAGGACATATCCTTGTTTCACAGACAAAACATGAAAAGGGGGAAGAGAAGAGAAGAGGAAACTGATGAGAGAAGGAGGAGGCAAAGGAGGAGAGAGATGGAGGACCAGGGTTTTTCTCTACTTACAGAATCTCCAGATCGCGCAGCGCTCGGAAAGCTCCATCTTCGATGCAGCTGATGTGGTTGCTGTCCAGTTGCCTGCACCGCACACACAAACACACAAACACACACACACACACACACAGACACACACACACAGATGAGACAGAGATGGGAGAGAGTCAGGCGCAAGTCTGCAAGGTCCGCTCAGCTGGGGGAGGGACTAACAAAAGATGGGTTGCTTGAACGAGAGTGTGTGCATGTGGATATGTGTGTAAGGTGATACCCAAGTAGTGGGCTTAAGGTAGCAGGTAGGAGACACCGGAGTTAACTCTCTCTCTCGCACATGCACTCACTCACACACACTCTAGGAATATCAAGTCCAGATGATAGCACGAAAGCTAAGGTTAAGTCTCTCACCTCAGTGCTGATATGGCCAGCCCTAAGGAGAAGAGGAGAGGAAAAGGAGAGCGCGAGAGAAGAGACCGGTGCGCTGAAGTGGCCTGCCTGGCATCAGCCTATCACCTCCTTCCCCTGCCGCACGCCCAGCGCACACTGGCCACCGGGAGAGAGAGGGGCGAGAGAGATACGCACAATAAAGAAGAGAGCGAGCGAGCCATTGCTACTAAAGCCCACCCTGCTTGTCTGTTCTGTAAATATTAATTGCATCTCTCCTCTCCCATCCTCCTCCTCTCCCTCCCCCCATGTCCTCTTTTATTCTTTTTTCCTCTCTCTATAGTGAAAGAGGGAGTAATTTCATTACATTAGGCCAGCCAATCCATTAAGGGCCTTTTACCGGCTCTGTCACTGAAACAATTTCATTAAAAGGAAAGCCTCCGTAAATCAACCTACAGTCACGACTCTGCCTCTTGTTCCCGTTCTCCTTCCTTCCTCCCTCTCTCTCACTAACTCCTCCATTTCCAGGCTTGCTCAACGACTTGCTTGCTGGACTACCAGATGCACCCTGTACCCCACTGCCATCCATCCTTTGCTTTTACTTTAATTTGCTCGGCTCTAGGTATTCAGCTCCCCTCCCCACCAACATCATCCACCCCTCATGAACCCAGCAACCCTGAAAAGTCCACTTCCTCCCTTCCTTCCTTACTTCCTTCCATTCCTCCAACCCATTCATCCCTCTGTCCCTCCTACCTCATCTTCTTCATCTACAGGAGAGTATGGATGGACTGCAGATGAAAATACACAAAGGGCAGACATTTAGAAGTGTCCTCATGTCCTTGTAAGTGGCATTTAACCTATTACACACACAGACACACTCAGACAGGTGGACACAGGTAGATTAATACGGTAAACACAGCACAGAAAGATTAAAATACATACAAACTGACAGAAACACTATGAAACTATTTATTGTCTGCTGTTGAGCCACTACAACCGTGGGGCAACCGTGGCTCAGGGGGTTGGGAAGCGCATCTGTAACCGGAAGGTCGCCGGTTTGATTCCCGGGCTCTCTGTCCTGGTCGTTGTGTCCTTGGGCAAGACACTTTACCCTGCTGGTGCTGGCCAGAGGGGCCGATGGCGCGATATGGCAGCCTCGCTTCTGTCAGTCTGCCCCAGGGCAGCTGTGAATAGTGGCATTGTAAAGCGCTTTGGGTGCCTTGAAAAGCGCTATATAAATCCAATCCATTTTTATTATTACTACACCTTAATCTTTTGTCTTCTTCTCTTCCCCAATCTCCCTTCCGCTGGATTCCTCCATTGCTAATCACTTTTTCTTTGACTTCGACCATCTTATATTCGTTTCTCTCCTCTTGTTTTGGATCAGTCTTCTCCACTTTTAATCTCTCCCAATTCACAATCCATGTTTTTCTCTCACCTTGTCTTTTATTCCCCCTTCACTTTTTCCCTTTCGCTCTTCATCTACCCATCTCTAATCAATTTCGTCTCCCTGTTTTCTTTCATCAAGCTTTTTAATTTATTTTTTTCCCTTCTGTGTTTGCCTTGGTGTCTGCTTGGCACACTGCAACACCCGTTAAATCAGTCATGTCAGCTTTTAACCCCGAGGAAGGTGCATCCCAAAAAGGCAGCTGTAGTTTTCTCTCTTTCTGTAGGGCAGCAGAAATCACATCAGAATTTCTTTTTTGTTTGTTTTTGTATATACATGTCCACAGTGCAAGTCTGTGTAAAAAATCTTAGAGACATATAAGTCCTCGGAGTATCTGAAAATTGTATTCACTACAGTGCACCACAGGTACACCTCAATATTCTGTATGTCCGCTTATCAACAACAGGCAGCTGGCCAGAGACGGGCCCAGATGCACCATCTTCAGGCAAGATAAATGTACAAACTAAATGTTTTAGAGCACATAGCAGTAGTAGAGAGTCATTATCTTATCACAGCTCTTTATACAAGAACATGCAAAGCAAACTCAGAAATATTTCTATTGAGACAAGGCTTCAGCAAAGCTTCCATATAAAGTTCACTGTAATTTTTCATTGCTTGATCATTATACTCTCTGAGGCGGCGCTGACATGTGCAGCAGGGTCACAGAAATGAGTTGACGGCACAGTGTAGTAAAACGTATTCTTCAAGCTTCTACCTGGTATTGACCAGCTACTAGTGGTTAACAATTGGCATGGTTTTGATTTGGAGTAAATCAAGAAAATATCAAACCAATCCATACCCACAAGCCAGGTTTGGATCACAGCATAATTATTTTCAACCCTCCAAAGACTTCCATATGAGATGCCTGGATTTTCTTTGAAGCAATGCAATCATATCTTAAAGGTGATTTAGTGTTAAGTTCTAGCTCCTAGCCATTGTGGCACTTCATTAACTGAGCACAATCTGTAAAGATTGGACAGGATCAACAATATGGAGCACTAAACAATGATGGTATATGAAAGCGTACATAAAAGAATAGTCTGGGTTTGTGCTCTTGTCATAAGTCATGTCTTGAAGCTATTTTTTTCTTTGTTGCCCACTTGTTGGATGAGAGCAGCAAGTGTAAGCATCTGTTAAATGACTGAGTCTAAAATATAGTGAGTCTGGGGATCATCAGCATATGGTTGTGCCATGTTTTCTGCTTTATGTAATTAAAAGGCATGTATTTTGGGGGGAAGGAAGAATGGCGCACAGCCTAAACAGCCATATGGAGATGCATGGCACCGCTAAAGTTGGCTAGTTATTACAGGCTTTTTATTCACGGCACTGTTCTTTTAATGTCGAGGAATAAAGTGCAGAGACAGACAACCAACAACAAATTAGGGTCTTTGTCATTCTATTCATACATCAAAATCTATGTGTGAAGAATGGCAACTCATGTGGTGTCTGAAGGAACTTTCCATCCCACACCTGCTGTTCTAGCCTGGGCTCCTGTAACTTAACAAAGGACACCAGTTATATTAAGCTATAGCTTAATTTAACTGGTATCATTTGTTTATATTTTACAAATAATGTAAAATATAAAAAAAATGAAGATAATTTGGAGCCTAGGTGAATCAGCCAATATTGGTGTCTTGTTAGCCTGACATCACAGTACAGGGGTCCAGTTCAGCCTTCACCTTAAAGTGCAAATATGTCTAGCTGCTAAACGTCATTTTTCCAAAGCTACCTTTTCATTTACACTGGCAAATGAAAAGAATACCCATGAAACATTTCGTAAAAACACTTCACTTCTAAATGTAACAGTTCTTGGTTGCTGGTTAAATTTTAAGCTGTTAGTTTGCTTTCAGTGCTAATTCTACAGTCTAGAAGAGGGCTGTCAAACTCTAGGCCTCGAGGGCCGGTGTCCTGGAGTTCGACACCTGTGGTCTAGAATAACACAAATAAAAGTTGTGTAAGGATCTGGGCTAGTGGAACTTTAAATCAACCTTGGTGGAAACTTTAACTATAGATTATATGCTTTGTTTAATTTTTGCAAAACCTAAAAGCAATAAAAGGGTGTCCAACTCCAGGCCTCGAGGGCCGGTGTCCGGCAGGTTTTAGATGTGTCCTTGATCCAACACAGCTTATTCAAATGGCTAAATGACCTCAACATGTCTTGAAGTTCTCCAGAGGCCTGGTAATGAACTAATCATTTGATTCAGGTGTGTTGACCCAGGGTGAGATCTAAAACCTGCAGGACATCGGCCCTTGAGTTGGCCTAGAGTTGGACAACCCTTGGCTTACTCAGTTATTCTAATTGCAAAATTAATCAAAGATTTGTATTCTTGACCTCTTCTATGACAGAATTAAAGACAAGTCCAGAAATCTATGGAATAAAAGAAAAGTTGTTATTATCTTCAGAAGATTTTCCATGCAAGAAGAAAACATACTTTTCCGAGCCTTCAGACGGTCTCAAAGAGATATAAAAATTAGTTTAATGATTGTATATTCTGAGTATCAAAACAGTATTTACAGTATTTCTAACCCTCAATCCTAACCAAATACTTCCCTAATAATTAGTTTTGGTTGCCCTAAATTTCACCAAACCTGTTGGCTTAATCCTCAACTTTTCCCACCATTCCCCTTCCTCCAAATTCTTCTCCTATCTTGAGCCATCCTGGCCTTCATCTCCCCGTCCACTTGGGCAAAATACCCACATTTTGGAAAAGCAAATGTGTTTAGTACAACAAAGCATTTATCCATGATTCTGCTTGCTGGACTGGACAGGACATGTAACTTAGAGAAATTGTGTTCCTTGCCCTTCAAGGAATTAACTTTTATCTGGCATTGACCTGAGCTGTATGTTAGGCTACTCCCCATGTCATATTAATCACTTTTACATGACAGTTAACCACAATTTGGTTTGCATTTTCAGGTAGTGTCAATCTTACGGTCGTCTTTGGTGTCTTGAATTGAATACCCAGTGGCTACACTAGAAGCCAAAAAAGTAAGTAAGTAAATAGATACATACATAAAATGGCTCACAAGCATTATGGGTAGGGGATTCTCATCCCTTAATAGAGCTGACAAAGACTCTTAGACACTTGCTGAAATATCTTCAGATATTTCTCTTTTTGATTACTTTTTCAATCATATCACTGCTCTCCTCCAGAAACTTTACAACTCTGCTTTTCCGCAAAACGGAGAAAAGATACTTGTTTCTACACTGGCAGCTGTCTTTGAGCTTCCATCTTCAGCCACAAAAAACAATTTC